AAGCTTGTTTTCCATTCATTTATTTGAGGAAAATTAATCATGCACACGAATTGGAAGTCCGGCCCAGTCTTGGAGAAGAAAATGCAGCAGTCCATTCATGAGGCCCATTCAAAAACCAGCAGCACTCAAGTCCGGTCTTGGAGTTCTCATTTGATTTTCAAAATAAAAGATGAAGAGATGCAGAAAAATCCGACCCATTTGATATTTGAAAACCTTGCTGCAACAACCGGCCCACTATCATTTGATTTTCAATCAATTTCTCCGGCCCACATTTGTTTTGCCCAAAGATGAAGTTCCTGCAGCAACCATTCTTTGTCCGGTCCTCTTCATTTACAATCCAAATCTTTGCATAAAAACCCAATTCATTCCAATTATTTGCAGCCAAGTCCGGTCCTTAGGTGTAGTCATTTGTTGATGGGCTTTGGGCCTTCAAGGAGCTTGATTTTGTGGCTTCTAAAATGCTACAAAATAGAGAAGAGAGATTTTGAGGGGTTTTTATATTTAATAATATTTATTTATATTTTTATTCAATTATGTGCAAACTAAACTAATAACACTTATTAATGGTATATTTATTCATGTAAAATAGATAATGAGGGTATAAAATTGTAATAAAATATGATTATCAATATCCCTTAAACTATAAACAAACCATCTCCATGTTTCATTATCAAAAAAAATCTCAAGACATGCATCACAATTGCATCTGGATAATGATCGTTCTTTATATGTTCTATCTGCTCTATCCATATGCTTAGTTTCACGAATTCCTTCTTTAAAACAAACAAATTTACGATAATAAAGATTGCCATTTTTATCATATCTCACTTTATCCCTTCGAATGCTAATACCCTCCAAATTGGCATATGAATTATAAAACTCATACCATTCATTTTCAGTGGTATAGGAATTCAGAATTATGTCATCGTATTCCATTAAGGATGGGCCTCAGGATTCACCTGACATGCATATTAATTAATAAGACATTAGTAAAAAAATTAGTCATGCAGCAAAATATTAACCCTATTAAATATTGTTGACTGATAGAAAAAAATGTTCTAAAAACAAGGTTCTTACAAGCAACATTGTTAATTGTTGGATGTCAGCATAATATACGTTTTCATAGTTTTAGCAAAAAATTCCAAAGTGGCCGGTCAACCTCACACCTAGCAAGATTTACTTTACTTTCTTAATCTGTTATAATTTGGCAAAACATAGATTATTCTCTTATTTATCATTACTGTGCACAGAAATTGTCATTAAATTTTTATCATAATTCACTTAACGGACATTTTGCAAGAACACAATATCTATCTCTATCATCCTTGTTGTAATATTGTCGGCGCTTTTATATTGCGATGCAGATCAAATGGGAAATTGCCACTATGAAGTTAATAAATAACATTGACCAATTTTTATCAAAAACAATTAGAAACTTGCATAAAGTTTGAATTTTACCCCAAATAAACCCTAAATGCGCATACAAGATCAAACCAACAAAATAGATAGTTTTAGTATTGAAAAAGAATGTTCCTAATTTCAAATCAGTACCATTCAGAGATTAGCAAACAACATGATGTTCCTAATTTCAAATCAGTACCATTCAGAGATTAGCAAACAACATGTTATCAATTTTCCCACAATCAGAGAAAAAGTTAGGGTTCTAATGAGTGATATTTTCCCACAATCAGAGAAAAAGTTAGGGTTCTAATGAGTGATTACATACCTTGATCCTGTTCGAACTCACCGTGGCTAAGGAAGAGACTCCTCTCACGGAGCGGAGAAAGAAAATAATTTCTCTATGCAAGGCAGAGCGAACACGAGCGTCAATGGTAGAAAAAATTTTTGAGAGGGAGAGATTGACGATGAAAAAGGGAAGAAGCAACGGAAGCTTTCAGGATATAAAGCAATTAGATAAGAATTTGGAAATACTAAAATACCCCTTTCTTATCTTAACTGATTTTTTATTTTTGTCAATTTAAAAATTTGAAAAAGGGCTATTTTCGGAGCACCAAAGCAAACCTCTTTCTACAATTCTATCGCATACTACATTTAAATCTGTTGAGTGATTGGAGGTTCGGATGAATTACCAAATATTGGTCCCCAAGCAGACTTAATGATGATGGATCAAATATAGTCTTGTCAAATCAACATGTTTGATACACCACTAATTTTTGACGGTCTTTCCTCTGAAATTTGTGCTATAAGATGACAAGTTTATTTGATAGGGCTAACTGGGAAATGAATGTAATTATCGATCTCCTGTCCACGCATAATTTCATATTGAGTAATTGTTGTCATTGACTAAATACAGGATTGCTATTATATTGATAAGGGAAATCCCACCAAGTTTGTACATTTCATAGTAATAACTGTTGTGTTGTTTATGTTGATAGTTGAATTGTCAGGAGATAAATATAATCTAAAGCCAATTTAAATTTTTATTTCATTTGGATCGGCATGAAACTGAGCTTGACTTGAGGAAGTATAGTATTATGAAAGCGAAAACACTTGAAAAAATAACATTATAAAAGGAAGATGAATAATAAAGCCAACGAGCCAAGATGATTGATTTAAAGTGGGCTAAAATACAGAAAATAGTTAATAAAAAATCATAAACTGAAGATTAATGTTAATCCTAGTATACTTTTATATGATAAAAACATCCATACATATGCATTTGAAATAACTAAAAAAAAATTATGAAAATTCCTTATAAATATTCCTAGTTTTACTTAAAAAAATAAAACTATTCTATAACAATTCACAAAACATTATCTTTTGTTGCTTCTTTTTTATTTTTTTATTGAGTCGAGATCAATCCTTCTTCATTGTTACGCCCCGCTTCCCAAAATACACAGGAATCAGAAAGTGAACAAGCCCGTGGCGTATTAGATTAAGGAGAATAAATAAAAATAAACATTTCTCCTCAACCTAATATGCTAAGCGTCTGGAAATAAATACAATGCAAAGGCACATGTTCCCGATCACAGATAGCAAGAATATAATAGACAAACTCAGAACAAAATATCCATATCACAAGTGAATATCATCCAAGACATAATATTCGGGTTAACATGCCCTTATACATATCTGAACAAATGAATGCTGAAGAGATACAAAATTACATCGATCAACGAAAAAAGAAAGAACTACAAAAGCAGCTAGGACCAATAACTAAGAAGAGATAACTGAACTTCGGCCTAATCTTCAACTCTATCTGCAAGGCAATCCTGCTGAGAATATCCTGGCTCTGGCACATCTCCAAGCTGGACATGTTCTTCCTCTAAGTCTGACGTACACTAGAGAAAACAGGTGTACGTCAGCATGCATGGCACACGACAAGATCCCACAAGACAAATAGAACGAACGAAAACCCAAGCAAAAAACGATACGATAACAGAAATGACAAAAGGACGTGCAACTGAAAATCCAATAAAATCAACATGCGAAAACACTACTAAAAATGATAATCATAAGGCTAACTGCACACGGTAACTGGGTCGAATACTAACCATCCTAAAACTCACCAGTCCACCTCTCAGATAGGTCCAAGTTCACATTACCGGAAGACTGATTGTTCACAATCCCCTACGCGGATCCAATCCTGCGAAACAGGTGGCTAGAGAACTACACGTAATCCGATCTCGGCCTGGTCCGAACTCAGACAAAGCTCAGGTGACGAAACAGGTCACAGATCCAAGTGGCGAAACAGGTCACTTGGTCCAACAAACCAACTCCAAGACGAAACATGTCTCTGGTGCGAGTCTGGAAGATAAGTCAACAATCACATTCGATCACGCGAACCATGACTTTCTCACCCTAACTCTTCTCGTTCTTTCTAAGTCAACGATCATAATCCACAATATCTCTGGTTCACCACCTAAACTCAGTCAACACACCCACACATGTCACTAGATTTGTTCATAACGCACGAGGCCACTAAGTCGTGAGCTACTAGAGTTCTCAACACAAACAGGAACAATAAAAGCAGACATGTCAAGTACAGTAAAATATTCACAAAACATGAAAGGTAATCATAAATCAGCAAAAACATGTATACAGTCCGGTTTCATCAATATCTTGTTATCTGAATCTCAAAACTACTCATAAAAATTATCCGCAGCTAAATAATATCCAATATGACTACGGTTAAAACTGAAATCGAAAACCGTGATTGTTTTACACATGAAATTTCATAGTCTATAACTACCCACACAAAATCAGAAATTACTTAAAATCCAAAATAAATAATTCCTTTTGCAAATAAATTCATTTTAAATCATCATAATTATCAAAAATATAATTCTTTTACCGAAAATAATTTAACAACTCAAAATGACCCCTTTTCCGAAATAAATAATTTTAAATTATCTATTCTAATAATTATTCAAACCCAACCCTTTTTTCAAATAAATCCTTTTCTCAAAATAATAATTCTAAAAATATCTCAAAATAATTACTTTTATACAAAATAATTTTCCTTTAAATTACTTATCATAATATCATTGTTAAATATTAACCATCAACAAGCCACGCAGATAATAACAATTCACAATATAATCTATGCAACTAATTAATGACAGATATAAATATGAAATGACGAGTCAAGAGGAGAGGGATCTTGCCTCGGGTTGTATCGAACGATTCAACGCTGACGGGGCTGTCGTCAGCGCGGGAGAGAGTCACCGGCGACATTGCGAGTCCGCTAGCGGAGGATAGCGTGGACGTCGCGGATCGTCGGCGCTGGTCGGATTTGAGAGAGTTCGATGACAAGGAGATGAGGAGAGGAGGCGGCGTGAAGGTGGGGAGTTCGGACAGCGACACGGCAGTTGAGGGGGCGTCGGATGGAGGAGGATGACGAGGGCGGAGGGGCTGGATGCACTACAACAAAATTGTTTTTTTATAGCGTTGAATGATAGCGTTTATGTTGTAAGTGCTATAGATAGGCGTGAAGGTGGGGAGTTCGGACAGCGACACGGCAGTTGAGGGGGCGTCGGATGGAGGAGGATGACGAGGGCGGAGGGGCTGGATGCACTACAACAAAAGGGCGCGATTCCCGCTCTGCGAAAAATCGAGGGAAGATGTTCCGCAACAAAATCCTAGTTCGAGCCTCCCCTCCTCCTTCCTCCTCTTTCTCTCTCCTCCCCCTCTCTCTCCCCATCGCCGGCGATCGATCTCCTCCATTATCGAACTCCATCGATCTCCAAACTCTTTGCTGCAGGCTCTCGAGGACTTGGCGCCTCGCCTGCTTCCTTCACGCCGGTGACATCTTCGTAGTCTATCAGGTACGAAATCACCAAGGACTCATCAAAACCCTAGATCGGGTATCGGATCTGATGTTTCTTGTTGTTTCTTTTGATCCAATGATTGTTGCAAAGATCTCAGCGCGAATCTGCTGCTCGTGTCGTAGATGACCTTGTAAGATCGATTCCTGGCATCGAAGTAAGGTTCTAGAGCAATTTCGTTCCTTAAATTGGGGTTTCTACCTTAAATTGGAGTATTTATTTCATAAGAATTTTGTAGAGATCGGTTGTTATCTTCCTTAATTTTTGATTGAGGAGACACAGATCGTTTCTATTGACTTATGCCAATGGATTTTGTGTAAAATACTCTAATTATTGATTAAGTGTAAGCGTCGGTTTAACGTGAGACTATGGAAGGTGTTCACTGATTGCTTTAACTGTCTACCTGTGGCTGCTCTTATAGATGACAAAATAGTATGCATGCATGGCGGTCTTTCCCCAAATTTGTCAAACCTGGACCAGATTAAAAGCTTACCACGTCCTACCGATGTCCCTGATACTGGTTTATTGTGTGACCTGCTTTGGCCCGATCCTGGTAGGGAAATTCAAGGATGGGGAATGAATGATAGAGGGGTTTCGTACACTTTTGGTGCTGATAAAGTTGCTGAGTTCTTGACAAATCATGATCTGGATCTTGTCTGTCGTGCACATATAAGTTATGAGGTGTCCGCAATTAACCCATTCTAGATTGACAATAAGGAAATGTTGTGCGCTGTTTAGTGTATAATTAAAGGTGTGCAATTTGAACTCATGGATGCAAGATAGCAACGCTCCCTTTTTTTTTTTTTTTTCTTGATGCTATCCCGTATTCAGTTGATAGAAGCATTAAGTTGATAGAAGCACCGTCGTAACTTTGTGCTCTTTGGAACCGTGTATACTAGAAGACGTCATAGACATCAATTTTATTTACAAATAATCATGTAACGTAGTCTCTTGTTCAAAATGATCATTACACGGAATATATGAGCTTAGTAAAATTGGTATTGTCTACAGAGCAAAGCTTATGGATATTTGTTTACTTGCAGAAATTGGGATTTTGTATTGGCATTTGAATCCGAAAAACTATGAAAATGATGAAGAACTAAACAAGATTCGTGAAACCAGGGGATACAACTATATGGTCTGCTCGCTCTGCCTCACTTTATAACTTCTGTTTAACCTTGAATCATATTCTTCTTCTTCTTCTTTTTTTTTTTTTTTTTGCAAACTTTACCATCATGAATATTCATTTTGCAGGATCTTTTGGACTTTTGTCCTGAAAAAATTGAGAACTATGAAGAGAAGCTGAGGAACTTTTACACAGAGCACATCCATGCTGATGAAGAGATCCGTTATTGTCTGGAAGGAAGCGGGTATTTTGATGTCCGTGACAAAGATGACCGTTGGATAAGAATCTGGATCAAAGGAGGAGACATGATTATATTACCGGCTGGGATCTACCATCGCTTCACCCTCGACACTTCAAACTATGTGAAGGTATGCTACATGCTTTATCTTGTTGGTTGATAAAATTTCTGAATTATCAAACATTTGCAAAGTCTCAATGAATTTTGTTCTGATGTCTGAAATGTGTTGATCCCATAACAATTGAGAATTTTCTTGATGTGTCACTATTTAATCAGTTGCAGATAGGGTGACTGATGAGCTCTGTCAGTACATGGAATTATGAAAGTTAAATACTTTTACTGTGGTGTAGCCTGAAGATAATCTAACTCGAGCAATTCACAAATTTATGCTAGAATAGTCTTAAAATCCTTCATTGGTGCAATAACCTTAAAAACACCCAGCGATATACCAGAGTTACTAAAGTTCATGAACTTATCAGTGGCTTTCTTCCCGTGAATAAGGATTATTTTTTTAATATTTTCTCTGCATCAGAGCTCAAATAGCATAAAGATTGACTGACAAATGATTAAAGTAACTTGGTCCTAGAGCTAATTCATGAATGGTAATTGGTATCTATACATGAAGAAATAATTACTTTTGGATTTGGGACAGGTTTAGTATTACAAGTCTACATCGTAGGATATATGATCAATATTCCTAAACTTCATTTGGTAATGAGATACAGTGTTGTTTAAATTTGGCTTACGTGGACTCATGAAGGTGCGGATGTTTGCAGCTGATGAGATTGTTCAAAGGAGAACCAGTTTGGACTGCTTACAATCGCCCTCAAGAAGCTCATCCAGCAAGGCAAGAATACATCAAGAATGTAGTGGAAAATTCGGGCATTGCGCTTGAAGCACATTAGTTCATGTTATTCACCTCACTATGCATGGGCTTCTATGGTACTCTGCTCATGCACCTGTTTAATTATCCTTATTAGTTATGGGTATTTACATTATGGTGTCATCATTCTATGAGCGATCATAAACAGAGACAGGTATTTTTATGCAAAGGGGTTGTAGTTGTAAAGCTATATAGCATATTGAAGAGGCTGAGCACATATCCAGTGTCATGTGTGTGCCTTGGTGTGTGTACGTATGGTTCAAAAGGAAAACCGTCTTTGGTTTATTATTCGGTCGCATAAAACTGTCTTTGGTTTAGGATTGCTTCTGTTATTTTCTGAAGGAATATACAAAATCATACATGATTACAACTGTAGTCATCCCCATGTATTAGATTTTTGGAAAGTTTCCATCTTGGAAACTTTGTAACAGACACGTGCCGTTGCCAGGTGCCTCCACATTCCTATGGTACAGTTGATCACGGTTATTGTTGCTCTTATTAGTGCATGCTTTTCCAAATTTATAATTATGATTTATGGCATATGTTGATGATGCGGTGATTCGAACCCTCAATGGTATGTTTTAGTTATCCATGTCATGATTTCTTTCTCAGTTGACAAAGCCCTGGAACACAGTTTCTAGTTAGAAATACTTAAACCCAGCTGAAATTAGGCAATCCTTGTTATGTAGGGTACATGGAATGCTGAAAAATATGTTTGACCAATTTACACAAGTACTCTGGAGAAGAAGTTACAATAGCGTGCAGTGATACTTTAACATGAGAACGCATTTATGCATTTATATGCTTCCATCACTTCATGGACTCTATTTCTTTCCTTTTTCCTAATGGGCCATCCAATTTATAACACCTTATTTATTGTTATCTTCCTTTAAAACTAGGTTTATGACGTGACAAAGTTCCTTGATGACCACCCTGGTGGCGACGAAGTTTTATTATCAGTAACCGGTAAGAAAATCTCATTTGACGAGCAACATAAAGATATCCTATGGCGTTTTTAGCTTAAGATATGATTTCATGGATTTTTGCAGGCAAAGATGCAACTGATGATTTTGAAGATGTTGGCCACAGCAACACTGCAAGAGCCATGATGGATGAGTACTATGTGGGAGAGATTGACGCCTCCACAATCCCAGTCAAGACAAAGTATACCCCTCCGAAGCAACCTCACTACAACCAGGACAAGACTTCAGACTTTATTGTTAAAATTCTCCAGTACTATTGTTTTCTGTTTTGTGTCCATATATTCATGGTTCTAAGATCTCATTATTGATGTTGTTAATTTCTGTTTTTGCAGCAGTACTAGTACTCAATTGCTGAAGATGATGAGTCTCCCAAGTCATATGTAATGCAGCAAAGTTAGTTTTTGTTGTTTTGTGTACTATGGTTAATTTCTTGTACTCCATGTTGGATTATCCAAAGACTAGTATTTGTTTTTTGGCACATTTGTATTGAACTTCTTGTATGCTACAACTTGGTTATGTATCAGTTTGAACCTTTAAATAAAATATTTTTCAACCGCTATGAAAGATATTTGTCATAGCAATATAGAAATGCTATTGAATACTCTTTTATAGCTACATAAAAACGCTATGGTTGGAAACTAACTAATAGCGTTTTTCAAACGCTATGAAAGATATTTGTCATAGCAATATAGAAACGCTATTGAATACTCTTTTATAGCTACATAAAAACGCTATGGTTGGAAACTTTTTGATAGCGTTTGGGGAAACGCTATGTAAAGCCACAGACCTACTATAGCGGGTTCTGACACAGCGTTGATTAAAACGCTATGAAATAATACCATAGCGTTTTTCGACCGCTATGGTAGATTTCAGGTGTTGTAGTGATGCGGTAAGGGAGTATCGGCGTGGGGCTTGGTTGCTGAAGCTCGTGGAGGTGGAGGTAGAGGCGCTGGAGATCTGGGCGAACTGATAAAGAGAGAAAGAGAGAGAGAGAGAGAGAGAGAGAGAGAGAGAGAGAGAGAGAGAGAGAGAGAGAGAGAGAGAGAGAGACGAGAAAGAAGGGAGAAGAAAGAGAAAAGGGGGGAGGCGGTGGTGACGCCGCGCGGGTCGGAAGGTGGCCGGAGGCGAGGGGTGAGGACGGTGTTTGCGGTGAAAAGTTGATGTTTCATTGCAGGATTCATTACAAACTTCAGACGTTTACAACGATACAAAAATCAGTCTTTTATAAGACTTTACACAATGAAAAAAAAGTTAATAACATCCAAACAAACGCAGAGATCGTTTATCGGTCTTTGCTTGCGTGTGTGTCTTTGCCTGTGCCGGGGTTTATCCGTGGACCACCGTCGATCAGATCTGATTGCTGAAAAATTGGGCAGAGCTTCGTCTATCCACGAAGGGATCGAGAAAACCATAGCTCTTATCTCGGCGAAGCGATATAATCACTCTTCTTAAGATTACCGCAACGGGATAATCCTAAGGAACGGATCCGGGAAACTGTAGATCTGACGAATCTCTCTCTCTTGCGTTGAAGAACTCGATCCGATCTCTCCTCCTCCTCTCTGAAATCCGTGCACCTTCAGTCTTCAATCCGGCAGGGCTTCGTCTAATCTTCAAAATTCCAGATCTGAAAAAATGAGGACCCGGGGCTGTATTTATAGGCTCCAGGGGGTTTCGGGTGGTTAAAACCACCTAAAAGGCCACTTCTGTGTTGGAGACACCCCAGGGTGTCTCAAACTGGGTCGAGACACCCTAGGGTGTCTCGGGTGGGCCGAGACACCTCGGGGTGTCTCATTCAAGCTGAGACGTCGTGTTATGCCTGTTTGATTGTTTTCGCTGTAAATTCTTCGTCCGAACTCGGATTTGAGTGATTCAAAGTGCGTTGGAAAGCCGACGGGAAGTTCTATAAGCTCCAGTGATTAAATCATCTGCGGAATAAATGAGACACGAAGGGTATTTCACCGTTTGTGAACGATACGAGGTTCTTAAATCATCTGCGGAATAAATGAGACACGAAGGGTATTTCACCGTTTGTGAACGATACGAGGTTCCCGATCGGTTCATATCTTCATCATTCCGAAGTTCCGTTGTTTCATGTAATTCGTCGGTTTACTTCAAGTGTTCACCGACATCACTCAAGCTTTTGTGAACCAGATGGTAACATTCATCGTTATTTTCTAACACTGAGCTGTTCGTGGAGACCTATAGGCAGTTTTCGATGCCTACAGACGGCTGACAGGAGAGTCTCGACGGTGGTAGCGGGGTCGGGGAAGAGAAAACAGGGATGGCGGCGGGTGTTTTGGGGAAGAAGAGAAAGAGAGAGAAAAACAAAAGTAAATATAATAAATATATATATGAAGAAATTAGGGTTTAGAAAATTAATTAAAAATAATAATAATCACAAAATAAATTAAATAATTATGTGAAAATTATCTACACATCAAAACGTACCAGTTGTAGTATTACGACCGATAATACGCAATAATAAAAGTAATACAAGAAATTACACAATTAAACAAGAATAATTAATAAAAATATAATTACTTATACTTAAAATCAAATAATTATAGGATAATTATCTACGTGATAAAACGTACCAGATGTGTTAATACGACAGATAATATGCAATAGTAGAAATAAAACAACAAATTATACAAATAATACGTAATTAATAATACAACATAATACACGAATAATACATAATATTAACAATAATACAATGTATTATTTAAAATAATACGTAATAGTACCAATAACACAACAGATTAATTTTGGAAATTTTTATTGCACTAAAAAAATTTATAAATATCTAAATCATTTAAATAAATATAAAACTTGGACTTTTAAATCATAGAAAATTATAGAAAATCGAGAAAAATACAAATATTCTTTTAAAAAAATAATTAAATATTTTAAAATACTAAAAAATTATTTTAACTAGTATCAAAATTCCTGGTCATTACATTCATCTTTATCTTTTTCTTGGGCAATTCTAGAGTAGTGTCTTCATTGTCTACATCGATTGTGATATGAGACTGGAGCATGCTATCTTTCCTTAGGCTAATTCATCTTTTATCTTCTTGTCTAAATTCACAAAGAAGTTGAATGTATTTCTTATGTTCAACACAAACTTCTGACAATACGGACTTTGATTTTTTTCTTATTTTAATATAAATATAAATATATATATATATATATATAATATAATTTTTTGTGCTTTTAATTTATTACTTAAATAATGTTATACTTAAATAAGGTTAGGAGATACCTCTTTTTTCTCTACAATGAATTCTTCTGTTGTGCATCCAATAAGAATTTATGTTGTGTCATACTGTTACATTTGCTCTGTCTGTGTCATTTTCCATGAGGATTTGAACTAAATACATTATATTTTTCATTATCAATTTGCTTTAGATTATAATATTAATATTAAATTTTGATATATTTATTTCATGAAGAAGGGATATCACTTAACCTTGTTACTACATCATCGGTGATTCTACAATATTTATCATCTGGACACTTATTATTAATATCTCTATCCACTTTCTTGTTTCAGCCTTTACAAACATAGAACCACTGCTCAACTCTATAATAAATGATAGTTATCATTACCTTAAAGGCGCGATAGCGTGTCTGTATATTGGTAAATTATTTTTAGGTTTAATTATATGAATTTTAGAGTAGATTTTCTAAGATCATACCTCTCTCGATTGTTATAATGTTATATATATTTGTATTTGAATTTCTGCTAAATTTATAAAGAGACTTAATGGAGATGCTTTTGTATTGGCAGCTTACCCTAAAAGAGTGTTGCATATTAGCTTTAAAATAAAATATTTTGTCTTTACGGTGTTATATGGATATTTGCTTGGTTTACTTACTATTCTCTTATTTCTTCAGTAAATTGTATATTTGGATTGATATATATTATTGACGCAATTTACGATGACATGCGTATCTCCTCTATAAAATTGAGATATATATAAGGTGAATTTTATATTTAGTGATCTTTAATAAGAATTTTAGTAATGAAATATGTCAGACCCTAGAGGGGGTGATTAGGGTCTTATGCTAATCTAATTTGATTTTATGCCAATTAAAAGTAATTAACAAATTATTCTTGCAAGAGAGATATACAATATGTTACAAGCAAGAATAATCAATATGAACAAAGAGCAATATCCTAGCAATGATATATACTATGAGATATATGCGAGGATATACAATGAACACAAAGGTAAACAATCTAAACTAGATAGTGGGTAATATAAACAACAAGCAATATACAAAGACGATATAAGATATGAGCATAAGAAAGGTGCGCTAATGCAATCACAAACAAACGATATGATCACGGAGTTTGGACCTTCCTTCCTACGTCTCCGCTCCCCACTCCCGGGGATAAATCCACTATCACAACCGGGTTTTCTACGCTCACCCGAATAACGTATACACCTCACAATTTTATTCATGGAGTTCGGTCCCCACGACCTACGTCTCCGCTCCTCACCTCGAGGAGATCTCCACTACACACTCGGTTTTCTAGCTAACCGAAAACTTTACAATCTCACAATATAATAAATGATTTGTTCTCAATAATAGATGAGAACTCAATGTAGACTCACTTTCTAAGTCACACAATCTCACAACCCAATTATACAATGTATGCAAATACAATAATTGTGTGTGTAAACCAAGAGAAATAAAATCAAACTCAATTAAAGTCTAGCAAATATAAATATGACAATGTAAATATAAACAAGCTAGATAATTGAGTTGAGAAAACTTCTCTAGAACAAGAGAGATGGAGATGTGAAGTGGAAAGCTCAAACCAAAGATGATCTCCTCTTCTTATGAAACAATCTTCACAAACTTGAAACTTTTAACCCACACTTAAACAAAACTTAAACTCTTGTGAAAACTTATTTAAAACATCCATTGGTGGTTGAAAATAGTTATGGCAAAGGGGTATATATAGGGAAGAAGAAAACAACCCAAAAAACCCACTAAAAATAAAAATCAGTAAGTTATCGTTACTATACAATGGTAACATAGGCGGTCGACCGTGGCGATCGATCGCGAGAAGTAAAACTGCAAAACTGCTCTCTGGACTGACACACATCAATATAAACAATGTTTTAAAACCCTATGAAATAATTTTATAGACTTAATGAAATATATATACAATGATTGTTAAGTCCATAAACCAAAACTTGTGTATATATATAACTATATATATAAAAACCAAATATGTGTGTGCATATATGATTGAGCTTAAAGTACTAACACACATAATATAAAACCTAAACTAAATATATACAACCTTGATTGATCTTCGATGTAGCTCAACTTGGTACACTTGCGGATAAAGCTAGAACTTGGAT